AATCAGTCAGAACCTGACAAGGAAGAAAAGTGCAGTTCTGGGCACAGATATGGGATAACTCAAAGAAATACAACAAGGATGCAGAGGTGGATAAGAATAAAAAAGAAGTTGAAATGAAAGAACTAGTAATAACAGCAGAAATGGTACAGAAAAGAGCAAGAAAGATCAAGAATTGGTCAGCATCAGGTGAAGATAAACTGCATGCTTTTTGGTTGAAACATCTAACTGGTCTATATTCACTCATTGCCAAGCAGTGTAACAACATACTACAATGAGGTGAAATTGAAGAATGGCTAACATCTGGCAGTCCCTACCTGATAAGGAAAGATCCAGCAAAAGGGGCAGCACCAGGCAACTACAGGCCAATTACCTGTTTACCAACAACTTTCAAATTGTTAACTGGTTTGATAGCTGATGCAGTCCAATAGCATCTAGTTGAAAACAATCTCTTTCCACTTGAGCATAAAGGAAACTGCCCCAATAGCAGAGGAATAAAAGATCAACTCCTAATTGACAAAATGATTTTGGAAAATTGCAAGAGAAGGAAGACTAACCTGAATGTAGCACGGATTGACTACAAAAAGGCATTAAATTCTCTGCCACATGACTGGATAATCAAGTGCCTAGAAATAACAGGAATCAGTAGAAACATCAGAAGATTTGTGCAAAGATCGATGGCAGTTGCAGGTCAATGAAGAGAGCCTGGGAGAGGTTAATATCAAGAGAGGAATATTTCAAGGAGATTCACTATCACCACTACTATTTGTCATTGCACTGTTGCACTGTTTCCTATGTCAACAATAATGAATAACTCAGTTATGGCTATAAAATATCAGACATCTGCTAGACTATGCCACCTCCTTTACCTGGACATTCTGAAGCTGTATAGAAAACTTCATCTGAAATAGAATTGCTGTTCAACACTGTCCATGTATATAGCCAAGATATTGCAATAGAGTTTGGATTGGACAAATGTGCCACACTCACTATCAAACAAGGAAAAGCAGTGAAAACTGAAGGAATCAAGATGCCCTACGAAAATAACATTAAGAGTCTGGATGAAGATGATTATTACAAGTACCTGGGTATCCTTCAAGCTGATAACATCAAGAACACTGAAGTCAAGAAAAAAATTAGAGATGAATACATCAAGAGAGAGAAGAAGATCTTAAAGTCCAAACTCAGTGGATACCATCAAGGCAATCAACTCCTAGACAATTCCGGTCATTAGATATACAGCTGGAATAGTGGACTGGACTCAAGCAGAACTAAAAGCAATGGATAGGAAGACCAGAAAAATAATGACAATGAATCATGTCCTTCATCCTTGCAGCAACATTGACAGACTCTACTTACCAAGGTAAATAGAAAAAGGGACTTTGGAAGAATATCTGAAGGACAATGAAGAAGATGCACTGAAGGTTAGTATGCCAGGAAGATTTATTGATACTGGAGAGACCAAATTGGCCTACAAGAAAGACCAAATAAAGAATAGAATGAAGGCATGGGAAAACAAAGCACTATATGGCCAGTACATTAAAAAGAAAGCAGGGAAAGCACATAAAACCTGGCAATGGCTAAGAGCAGGAAAGTTAACGAAAGAGACTGAGGGACTAATCCTGGTGACACAAGACCAAGCCTTAAGGACAAATGCATACAAAGCCAGAATTGAGAAGACAGCAAGTGCCATCTATGCTGAAGAAACAATGGACAACCTGGTAAACTGCTTCAAGGTTGCCCAGACTGACTACAAGCAGCAGCATGACGAAGTAGCAACAATGGTGCATTGGAAGATTTGCAAGAAATATCATTTGCCTGCAAGCAAGAACTGGTGGGACTATAAAATAGAGAAAGTAATAGAAAATGAAGAAGTTAAATTGCTCTGGGACTTCAAACAAACAGGCACCTGCCACATAACACCCCAGACTTAACAATTGTCAATAAGAAAAACAAAAAAGACAGGATAGTGGATGTGGCAGTGCTTGGAGATAGCAGAATAAAAGAGGAAGAACTAGAGAAGATAACAAGCAAGGGTAGTACCAATAGTAATAGGAACCTTGGGTGCAATCCCAAAACAACTGGAGCACCACATGAACACCATCGGCATTGACAAATTCACCATCAGTCAATTGCAGAAGGCAGCTTTACTGGGAACAGCTTCCATCCTGTGACAATATCTGTAACACCATCAAACATCCAGATCTGCCTATCCCAGGTCCTTGATTAAGGACTCGATAGGTAGACAAAAATGCTAAACCCAGTCTGAACATCTGGCTGACTATGCGATGATTAATAATAAAATAAAATAAAATAAAATAAAAAATAAATAAATAAATAAATAAAAATAAAAAAAACAATCAACTGGACTGTGGCTGAACTGGAAAACCTGGACTGGAAAACACGTAAACTTTTGAACATGTACCACACTTTACATCCACGAAGTGACAGAGACAGGTTGTACCTGCCAAGAAGAATAGGGGACAGAGAGCTATTGCAAATCCATCAAACTGTAGAAGAAGAAAAACGAAGTTTGAATGATTATGTGAACCAAAGCACAGAAAGATTGCTGCAGGCTGTGAAAATGGAGAACATTATAAAAACAACAGAAACAAAGGCAGAATATAAGGAAAAATAGTTGGATGACAGATTAAATGAATGGAAAACCAAAGCTCTGCATGGACAGCACTTGAAAAACATTGAAGAAAAATGTGATAACAACTTGACATGGGCATGGTTTAAGAGAGGAACCATCAGGAAAGAAACGGAAGGTTTAATACTTGCTGCTCAAGAATAAACACTACAAACTAATGCCATGAAAGTGAAGATACAAAAATCCACTGACAATCCAAACTGCCAACTTTGCAACGACAAAGTTGAAACTGTTTCACACTTAATATGTGAATGCAGCAAAATCACGTAAACTGATTATAAAGCTAGACATGATCGAGTTGCTAAATTAGTCCACTGGTCATTATGTAAACAATATGACATACCTGTACCTGAAAAGTAATGGGAGCACAAAGTGGAAAAAGTTATTGAAAATGAGACAGTGAAGATCTTGTGGGACTTTCAAATACAGACGGATCATCATTTGGAATATAACATGCTAGATATCACGGTTGTTGAGGGCCGAAGCGTACAATTTTTATTGATATCATTGTACGAGGAGATGCCAGAGTCAAAGAAAAAGAACTGGAAAAAATCACGAAATATCATGACCTGGCCATCAAAGCTATGTAATTATGAATGTAACATGTAACAGTGATACCCATTATCATCAGGGCACTTGGTACCACGTCAAAGAATTTTATAAAATGCATCAAAAAATTGCACCTTCCTGCAATAACACCAGCGGAACTGCAAGAAGCTGCGCTACTTGGAACATCATACATGTTAAGAAGATACTTGGTTGATATCTAGGATGCTGGCAGCAACCTGTATCAACCATCAGCGCCAGTCAGTGATATTTGTGATACATTTTTAAATGTTCAGTTGACTGAGTTTCATATTTAATGAATAAAAGAGACAACAACAACAAAAATACCAAGAAAGGGGAGGAGTAAAGAAGATAATAAGGATAAATAATATTAGTACAGCCATACTACATAGGTAAATACACATAGGCATTAGACAGCACTGTAAGAATTAGATGTTCAGCAGAATGATGACACCGGAAAAAACTGTCCCTGTGTCTAACTGTTTCGGCATGCAATGCACTATTTTGCTGTCCTGACAGGTGGAATTGAAACAGTTTATGTCCAGGATGTGAGGGGTCTGCAGACATCTTCCCAGCCCTCCTTCTGACCCATGCAATATACAGGTCTTCTATGGAAGGCTGGTTGTGATTGCTTTTTCTGCAGTCTAAACTATCCTTTGGAGTCTGTACCTGTCCTGTTTGGTTGCTATACCAAATGAGATAGTTATAAAAGTACAAATGACAGATTCAGTAATTCCTCTGTAGAACTGTATCAACAGCTCCTGGGGAGTCTGAACTTCCTGAGTTGATGCAGGAAAAACATTCTTTGCTGTGCCGTTTTAATGATGGTTTGTTTTTTTTTAATTTGATTTATATGTTGCCCTTCTCTGGAGACTCAGGGCAGCTTACAATGCGTTAAGCAATTTTAATGTCAAGGTTTTAATGTCAGGTGTCTCTTTCAAGTCCTGGGAGATTATAGAACCCAAAAATTTGAAGGACTCTATTGATACTGTCCTGCCTAATATGGTAAGAGATGATAGAATAGAAGAGCTCCTCCTAAAATCCACTCTCATCTTTACAGTTTTAAACATGTTCCAGATTGTTACAGCTGTATCACAGGGCTCTTCAACCTCCCTTCTTATAGGCAATTTCATCACCATCTTGAATGAGGCCAATGACTGTTGTATCATCAGCAAACTTCAGTACTTTAACAGAGTTCCCTTGTGGTGCAGATATATATAGAGAAGAGCAATAAAGAGAGCACACAGCCCTAAGAAGCACCTGTACTAATTGCCCTGGTACTAGATGTTTTTTTCTCTTGCTTCACCTGTTGTAAAAAAAGTGGAAACAAGATTTCTGGGACAAATAAAAACTCTCTGGTCTTATTCATGTTTATTTGTCTGGACTTTTAGAATATATATCATGTCATATCAGTATTACTAAAAGAACCAAGCACACATGCACCCTCGTGTTCTATTATCACACAGATACATTTAGGGTTTATATCAATCAGCAAATAAAGTACGTAAAATACTTCTTTTTCTTCTTTTGCCCTGTCCAACCCCTTTCAATCCCACATTGTTCTTTGAATTGCCAGGTTATGGTGGTTATTTTCTAAATTTATGTTAACAAATACTTTGTGAATGAAGTCTGCTTGATCACCGAAAGTATGATGCTCACATGTTCAGCTCCCATATGGAAATGCCAACAGGAGGCTGATCCTTAATATTGGATCACAGATGGAACATCAATCTGAGGTTGTGTAACCCATTTTGCTCCCCCCCTCCATATGCTCCCATTTTAGTCCAGTATCATGAACAGCGCTGGAACCTCTGACGATACCAAGCCTTTGCCAAATTTCCAACGGATGGGAGCGATGAATTATTCATCCCCAAGTCCAGGATCCCTCACAAAGCATGTCTGCGCAATTTGTGGAGACAGATCGTCAGGTACCCACAGCTTGCATGTTAAGGGGACTGTCTGGGAAGTATTAAATAACTATTACAATATAATATTGCCTCAGGATTCTTTCCTCTTAGTTGGTCGTGCAGAAAGTATCTCTTGTGTTTCTTCATTCAGGGCAAAATCATTTTTAATGTATAGCTTTTGAGAACATTGGACTATTGTTTTATTTGAGGCCAAATTTCCAGCTTTTATGACCTGATGAGGGGGGTTAGCACTCTTGTAGTGCTAAAACATCCATGCCTCATATAATTACACCCCTTTCCCTGGTTGGCTGCTATTCTGATCACATCTGAGTTCTTCACAGTATTCTGTATCACAGTCTGGTCTGTTTCCTATACAGTTTTCTTAGTCCTCTCAGGCATATTGAGTGGTTCTGTATTTAACCATTTCTGAAACAAAATGCTCTGATAATTTGAATGCCCCAACTCAAAAGTGCAGAAAACATTTAAACTTGCTCATATATCCCAAATGGAATGTGCTGATGTGTATTGCTGTATTGCTAGGGAAGCACTATGGGGTGTACAGTTGTGAAGGCTGCAAAGGATTCTTTAAGCGGACAGTAAGAAAGGATCTTGTCTACACATGTCGAGATAATAAAGACTGTCTGATCGACAAGCGTCAGCGAAACCGTTGCCAGTATTGCCGTTATCAGAAATGTCTAGCAACAGGCATGAAAAGAGAAGGTATGTTGCTAAGATATACACATTCATACACATATGTGAACATATTATATACTAAGTATATACTTATACTCAGTGGTGGGATTCAGCCAGTTCGCACCACTTCGGGAGAACCGGTTGTTAACTTTCTAAGCAGTTTGGCACACTGGTTGTTGGAAGAAATCATTAGGGCAGAGAACTGGTTGTTAAATTGCCTGAATCCCACCACTGCTTATACTTAAGTATATACTATACTAAGATGTGCATACACAAACCATCCTTAATTACATCAGAAGAAACTCTCATAGCCCCATTGTTTTTGTTCTTCATCTGGAATAGATGAATCAATTCTTCATCAGCTGAAAGTCAGGCCACTGCTATGCAGTTTATTCTATATGTTTGATAATCTGCCACTTTGAAGGATATAGGAAATGTGTTCTGAAGTGCCACTGTGGCAGTCACAGAAAATGAAAGAAAACAAGATGCAATTCATAAATTAAAACTCTATCCAAGCAGGGCACTAGCTATAGAGATATTTGCCAAGTATTAAATTGATGTGGTTTTTTCCCCTAAACTGTCATTTTCCACAAGGAGGGAGGGAGGGAGGGAGAGGGCTATAGTTGTATAGTACAGGCCACTTAACCCAGCAGAGGAAGTAGATGAATGTTTTGCTGATCAGTTAAATAAGGTGTGCAGAAAACATACCTCTGTAGGGGGACTCTAATTATCCTGACATCAACTAGGAGACACCCTGCAGCAAGCGGAGCCGATTTCAAAATACTAAGAAGGAGATTAAGAAGAATTCCATGGGTAGAAATCCTAAACAGAAAAGCAATATCTCGCCAGAATTCTACAACTGCTGGGAATAATGATGGCTCACAAACCAACATCAACACTCCAACAAGAGCTGTAGAGAAGACTGAAGGAAGAGAACAGCAATGTAACCTGCAAGATCAAATGCAACAACTGTGACCATCTATGTTGGGCAAAGAGGATGACAACTAAAAACAAGAATCCATGAGCACTGACTAGCAGCCAACCAGCATGACCACAAATCCCTGATCTTGATCCACAGTGACACCAAGCAACATCAGTTCGACTGGGATGGAACAAAACTCATTGGCCATGCCACCACATGGCATGTACACAAATGGTTGAAGCCTGGTATTCAACGAATAGGTCACTCAACAAACATATCGATCTGAAACCAGCCTACAAGCCCAAAAGGAGCCAGATTAATTGGACAACTAACCTATGACAGCACCAACCACCTCCTCATTTGGTGACCTTCACAGGATGTGACCATCCAGCCATGTGACCAACCAACCATGTCTCCACTCAGGATAGATAAAAATGAACAATAATTGAGATAAGACTCTTCAACCAAAGTTCCGCTGAAGATGTTGTCTAGTCTGGCAACGAAATGTTTGGAAGCCAAACAGCAAGCTCGAAGAACAAACCACTTCCAACAAAAAGGAAAGTATTAAAAAAATGGAAAAAGATGCTCATAACTAGAACAGAACTAGAATATAACCTACTTTGTAAGTTAGAAAAATGAGATATAGATAGCATCGCCATTAGATAAATTTGTAACTGGCTAACAAACCATACTCAATGTGTAGCCCTCAACAGAACTACACCTACATGGAGGGAAGGATGCAGTAGAATATCTCAACATTCTGTCCTTGGCCCAATACTCTACAACATCTTCATGTCAACCATCTGATTAACAGACCTAATAAAAGCAGGCATCTTCAGGAACTTTAAAATCCCAAAAGCAAAACTTTATTGAGTACATTATTTTGGCACTGAAGAAAGCAAAACCAACTCTAAATTTTCCCACACAACCCTGCAGAGTTAAAATGAGTTTCATCCCCTCCTCCCATGGAATGGGTCACATTGTCCAACTAGGAATCAGCCTTTTGTTTTGATAACAGTCCATGTCTTGGCTGACACCTGCAGAAGTGTCCTCGACTCTCACAGTTGAAGATTGTAGCCTCCACATTCCATCTCACCCTTCCCTCCTCCCAGTTCTTTGGCAAATTGAAAAGCAGTAATAGTCAGAAGAAGCTTAAGCGTTTTTCAGTCTTGACACTTCATAAATGACCTAGATGAGGGAATAGAAGGGGAACTCATCAAATTTGCAAATGACACCAAACTGAGGGGAATAGCTAAAACTTTAGAATCTACACTCAATATTCAGAAGAATCTTGACAGACTTGGATATTGGGGCCTAGCCAACAAAATACAATTCAGTGTTGAGAAAAGTAAGGTCCTGCATTTAGGCAGGAAAAATATTCCTCACAGTCATTGCTGAGGAAAGTCTTATTAGAATAACTGTCTTAACATAGAAAAAAATCTAAGGAAGAAGAAAAGCCTATTTTAAACTTAGACACCCTGCTGATGGGTGAGAGTCAGAGAAAATGTAAGGAAGTCACAGTATAATTATAGGATTACATTTCGGGACACAGAATGGAGAGTGACAAAATTCTTGTGGACTTTTCTTTGTGCACTAAGCGGTTCAAGAAGAGAGGCAGAGAAGCAGAGAGCGGAGTGAGAATGAAGTGGAATCTACAAGCAGCAATGGTGGGAGTCTTGAAGATATGCCTGTAGAAAGGATTCTAGAAGCTGAAATGGCAGTTGAACCAAAGTCTGAATCATATAGTGATGTGAGTGCAGAAACTTCGGTAGGTGCAATTCATTTCAGTGCTGTTCCTTAGGCTGTAAGTAACTGTGAGTAATGTGTATAACATTGAATATCCTGAATACAAACATATGACTTAATGCACGTTCAGAAAAATGACCTGTTTGGCAAGTGCACTATAGATTCATAATCTAAAATATTTTTTAACAACTGGTAATGATAGATATCTGGGGTCTTCTTATGACACATACAAGCAGAAACTTGAAAGTTAGGGCAACAGAATCTGTCCATTTTGGTTTCTCTTTGTCTAAGAAAGTACTAATCTGAAATTGTTTGTTCTAGCTCTTTTTCCAGACATGTACAAAGTGAACATATGTTGTTTGGATTTCCTCCTGATACACTGTATTTAGCTAAGTGTTAAATTACTAGAGTGTATTTACTTTAATTTTTTTTTTTGCTTTACTAACATTGCTTGGGTTGAATTCCCAATCTCAGGAATGTTCATATGCAATTGCAAATGTTTTCCTATATATTTATTTCCTGACTATTATTTTTATAAGTAGCTCAGAGACTTCATCCTCCTATTTTCCCACAAAAACAACCCTGTGAGGTGGGTTGGGCTTCCAACATGATAAAACCTTAACCTCTGCTCCTTCCCTCCCCTCACCAAAGCAAGAAAACAGAAGAAAAATAAGAGTTCAGCTTAATTCTAATCTGTTAGTGCCAAAGAATTTTGTGAGCAAGCACTGGCAAAAGGGAGTAGTTAAATTCACAGAGGTCATCACCTATCCTGCTCAATGGGAGAGTTCCTTGCTTGGAACCAAACTGTCTTGAGCTGATCTCCTAGGATGAAATAGAAGAAAGATGCCCAAAATTCACTGCCTGGGCTGCTGTTCCTACAAAGTGCAAGCCTGGCATTTGGGCAGTGTTTCAGATTCTTAAGATGCAGTTCTGCTTGATATGGGTATGACTATGGATTGGATCTGCTTCAGATCCTGCTCTGTATTTGGCTTTCCTGCAGGGTCTATGATAATTCACCACCAACTTGCCACAGCCAACTTGCCATGGCCATCTCACCGCAAGACAACTCGCTGCGGGACAAAAGTTACATTAATATCAAAGAAATGGTGGAATAGAATTATTTAAAAAAGGATGCAAAAGGAGGGACAGAATAAAATGTGAATGGCAAAAATTTAAATATTTTTTATTTATTTTAAATAATTACATAAAATTGTTACATTGTCCTGCAGCAAGTTGTCCTATGGCGAATTGGCTGTGGCGAGCTGTCCCGCAGCGAGTTGGCTGTGATGAGTTGGCCACAGCAAGTTGGCTGTGGCAAGTTGTCCCATTCCCTTTCTGCATTCCTAGTAGCCTAGCAGCAAAAGAAGAGTGAGAAGTTTAGGAACTAATGATAAATAGGCACCTCTGGCAAGAGGAGCATTCAAAAATCCTTGTAGCATCAGAATACACACACCTGATTTGTAATCTAATCCTTATATGATTAGTATGGAAATCCAGAAAAGCCATTGGCTAAATCCCTGAACAAGCACAATTCTCTCCCACAGTTAAATGGGGGATTTCTAATACTTTTGTTTTTGGAAAACTTCTGGAGTTAACAGCAACAGGGGGGAAATGTGCTCCAGGTTATCAGAGAGTTAAGTAGAACATCAGGTTTGCGCCACAGAAATCAGGATAATTCCTAGATGACATTAAATAATTATAGAATATTCCTTTTGCAGCCATATAGGGGTCTTAATGGAGTGTTACAGTCCATATGCAGTAGCTCAAAGGTAAGACTTTCAGAATTCAGGAAGCAAAATCTGGCACACCTAATTTACAGATACAGTAGGAAGTCAAACAGCGTGCAGTATTCTACTTTTATTTCTATTTATTCTATTTTCTATTCTATTTTAGATGCTTCTTACTCAATCCTTACAAGCTAGTTTCCTTGAAACTAGTTCTGCATTTTGAAAAGATCACCCTTATTTAAAGTTGCTCTCTCAATCCTTTTTAGTTTAAGCCATGAGAAACGCATCCATGATTCTTTTTGCTGTTCTGTTCCCTAATAAACAAACTACTATTTTAAACATACATTTTTGGTGCCAGGGTGTGTTTTATAATCTGCTTCAGATTCTGCTCTGTTGATTGGCCACCAGTTTCATGTCATAGTCTGACTTTTAGTCTTTTCAGTTGACAGAAAGGCAATTTTATTCTTTTTTTCTTCTTCTCTTTCCCTGGATGAGGAGATGGGGGAAAGGGGGCAGAAAATACCAATTGAAGACAAGAATTGCCCCATCACCCCAGACTGTCCTTGGGTAGATAGGCAAGATGGAAAGACTCTTACAATAGATTTAAAAGGGAGACTCTTGGTTTCTAAAATTAGGCTTATAAAAAATAGCCCAAACAAGGTGTTTTTGCTGGCTTATGTACTTGTTTCTCCCTTAGACCAATGATCCTGTCACCAATATTTGCCATGCAGCTGATAAACAACTCTTCACATTGGTTGAATGGGCCAAGCGGATTCCGCACTTCTCAGACCTGACATTAGAAGACCAAGTTATCCTCCTCCGAGCAGGTAATGACTTGTAGGCTTCTCTTTGCCATTGCTCTCCTTGAATGATCAACACAGCACCAGAAACTGGAAAACTTGCATTATGTAGCTGTAGGTTGTAGCTGATCAATTATCCACTTGCACATTATCTCGTAAAAAGAAAATATACTTTTTTCTAAATTTTGCAAGGCATTTTGTTCTCCCAGAAGATAAAGCATCTTCCCATTTTGGAAAAGAATGTGAACAGAATATAGCTAGAGACAAGGAATTGCTCAGCCCTTCAGAATTTGGGTAGCTATTCAGCTGCTTCACATTTTCATATGATCCAATCTTCCTACTTTCTCTATATCTAGTTTTCAGCTTAAATATTAGTACTTTTCAGCTGGTGGTCTGTAGAGATTCTCAGTCATTCAGGTCATGGTTTTCTGAATCTTATTTCATGCTGCATTCCTGAAATAAAGCCCAAGGTAGATGGTGGCTTTTCGAATTGTGAATGCAAACGAGCCTCAGAGATAGACAAGACAGAATGGTAGGATCTGTCCTGTCTCAAGGCTGAAAAGAAGTTCTTCATCTTGCCAGCCAGAGGGTAGTGGAACAGTTACTACCAGGATGGTTAAGAGTAATATTGTGAACCTCTAATCTAATCCTCTAAATCAGGGGTCCTCAAACTTTTTAAACAGTGGGCCAATTCATGGTCCCTCAGACTGTTGGGGAGGTGGACTGGCTGGGTGGGCGTGGCTAGGTCATGTGACTAGGTGGGTGTGGCCAATTTAGCAGTCCATTAAACAAATGCACACAAATTAAACTTGTTGAGTCAAAACTAGCGTTTTGAATGTTGATTGGAGCAGCCGCTAGCAACAAAAGTAGCGGGAGCCACCAGCTGTCGGATTGGCTACACAATTTGACAGCTTGCTATATAAGCCTCGCACTGAGGAGAATTGTTCGTTCGTTGTGCTGTTTTGGTTGTCAGTTACTGTTGTTGCCTCTCGTTTCTATAATAAACAGCTGTTAATGGGCGCCCGCTTCTGATGTGTTTAATCTGAATACACAACACTTGGCGACGAGGGTGGGATCTCTGTGAGGCGGCCCATTCAACACTCATTTTGTAACGAGTCGAAGTAATTGGAAACCTGAGAAGAAGAAGAGCATCCATAGAGCCATTCTGTGAGTACAATGGCTTTCGCGCTTCCCCCATTCACACAATTCGAGCCAGCCTCTGAGACATGGGACGAATACGTGGAGCGTTTTGAGTGCTTTCTCCAGGCCAATGACCTGACAGATTTATCGAGCACTCGAAAAAGAGGCTATTTCCTGAGCTCATGTGGCCGGGAAATTTTTGTAACCGCCAGAGCCTTGGCCGCACCACAACCCGTTTTCTCAATTCCGTGGGAGACCCTGCTGGCCAAGTTGAAGAACCACTACTCCCCTACGCCCTCCAAAATCGCCCGGCGCCATGCCTTTCACCAGCGATCCCAAAGGGCCGGTGAATCCGTGAGCGAGTATATGGCCTCATTGCGAACTGCTGCCCTGCACTGTGAATTCCGAGAGCTGGATGAAATGCTTTTAGACCAGCTGATGTGTGGCGTGAGGGATCTTAAACTTCAGCGGCGTTTGTTAGCACGTTTGGATCTGACACTTCCAATTGCCCTCGATGAGGCCCGGGCTGCAGAAATGTCTGCTCACTCCTCAGCGGAGATACAGCGAGCGCAGCCATCGGGGGTTTCCCCACCTGCAAATCCCCATTCAGTACACCATGAGGATTCTGATGAGGAAGGAGACGAAGAAGTGGAAGGGGAAGTGAGCCGCCTCAAGACAGCGCGGAAAAGCAAGGATTTCACCCCTTCTAAACCATCCCAGGGCAACTGTTTGGGCTGTGGCGGTCAGCATCGACGCGCGGACTGCAGGTTCAAGACAGCAGTCTGCCGGCGTTGTGGCAAGAGGGGCCATTTGTCCAGAGTCTGTCGAGCCGTTTTCCCTAGTCCAGATAACTCGGGGGAGCCCACCCCCAAACAGCGGAGAACGAAGCGAGCTGTCCATCGGGAGAATGCTGTTCAGCCATTCCCAGATACCGAGGTTGACGCTGTGGGAGTGAGTCAAGCGTCTGCACCGCGCTCTGAATCCAAGATTCACATCGAGGTCCTTCTGGAATCAGCGCCTTGCCGGATGGAGGTGGACACTGGCTCTTCCCGATCGCTGATTGCATGGTCCACCCTCAAGAAGCTGATCCCGACTTTCGCTAAACGACGCCTTCAACCGTGCCAAGTCAAACTCAAAGATTATCAGGGTCGGGCTATTCCTACCCTGGGCACTGGTTCTTTTTCTGTTGTTTATGGTTCCTTTGCAGGTCATCTTCCGCTGATCGTCGTTCGGGACAGTCTGCCGACCCTGCTGGGCCTTGACTGGTTCGCTGCGCTTCAATTGGGGGTGTCTGGTATCCATGCTATCAGGGTGGATGTCTCCGCTGAGCTGACCCGAGAGTTTGCTGAGGTGTTTAATGGCCAATTGGGTAAATACACAGGGGTGCCAATCTCATTCTCACTCGATCCTCAGGTGGCCCCGATCCGGCTTAAGCCTCGCAGAGTGCCTCTTGCACTGAGAGCCCGGGTAGATCTAGAGCTGGATAAATTAATTGCTCAAGGGGTTCTGCAGCCTGTGGAGTATTCCAAATGGGAGACACCCATAGTCATTCCCCTAAAGCCGGACGGATCCATTAGGATCTGTGCCGATTATAAGGCGACCCTGAATAGGGCCCTCCAGGCTAATCATTACCCCGTCCCTGTAGTGCAGCATTTGCTGCACTCGCTGGGCCAGGGCAAAATCTTCGCGAAGCTGGACCTGGCTCAAGCCTATCAGCAGCTTCCCGTCGATGAGGACGCAGCCCTGGCCCAGACTATAGTTACACACCGTGGGGCGTTCAAATGTACACGCCTCCAATTCGGGGTCTGTGTGGCCCCGGGAATTTTTCAAAGCCTCATGGAGCGCTTGCTCTATGGGTTGCAGGGGGTGGTCCCTTACTTCGACGATGTCCTGATCGCGGCTGCGGATCAGGCGGACCTCGTTGTCAAAGTAAGGGCTGTACTATCCCGTTTTAAGGAGGCAGGGCTGAAACTAAAAGCAGAAAAATGTCACATAGGAGTGCCCCAGGTCGAATTTTTAGGCTTCCTTATCGACGCGGCCGGTATCAGGCCAGCGCCTTCCAAGGTTGAAGCAATTAAGAATGCCCCAACACCAACCTCGAGGGCTGAATTGCAAGCATTCCTGGGGCTCCTCAATTTTTATGCAGTATTTTTGCCCCATAAGGCCTCCTTGGCAGAGCCCCTGCATAGACTCCTTGATAAGAAAACTCCATGGTTCTGGTCAAAGGAGGCGGCGGCCTCCTTTCAGGCAGTCAAGGACGTGCTCACTTCTGATGCCGTCCTAGTTCAATATGATGTTTCCTTACCTGTCTCATTGACCTGTGATGCTTCCCCCTATGGGGTGGGGGCGGTCTTGAGTCATCTGTTACCTAATGGGGCTGAAGCCCCGATTGCTTATTACTCCCGCACGCTCTCTGCAGCGGAAAGAAATTATAGTCAACTTGATAGGGAGGCCCTGGCAGCAGTGGCTGGAATCAAAAGATTCCACGATTATTTATATGGTCGTTCCTTCTCCCTAGTGACCGACCACAAACCCTTATTGAGTTTGTTGGCTTCTGACCGCCAAACGCCACTGGTGTTGTCCCAGCGCATGTCACGGTGGTTAGAACTTTTAGCCGCTTATTCATACCAGTTGCAGTACAAACCAGGGAAGGCCATTGGGCACGCGGATGCCCTCAGCCACTGTCCTCTCCCTTTTCCAGTCCGGGATCCAGCCCCTGTGGGGTCTGTCCTTGTGATCAATGAATTTCCTGCCCTGGTGACAGCTAGCGAGGTGCGGACACGTTCTGCGTCCGACCTGGTACTGTCTCAGGTTCTGGACTGGGTCCGGCGGGGCTGGCCGGATGGCCACCCAGAGACAGAATTCTTGCCTTTCTTCCACAGGCAACACGAGCTGTCTGTGCAAGAAGGTTGCCTCCTTTGGGGCCACAGAGTTGTAATTCCCACCATGCTGCACAAGAATATCCTGTCCTGTCTTCATGATGCCCACCCCGGAGTGGTGAGGATGAAAACTTTGGGCAGAGGTTATGTCTGGTGGCCTGGGCTCAACAAAGATATTGAGACATGGGTTGCAAGGTGTTCCATTTGCCAACAGTCTAGGTCCGCCCCACCCGCCGCCCCAGTGCAAGAGTGGGATTCGCCCAAGGCCCCTTGGTCGAGGTTACACCTTGATTTAGCTGGCCCATTCCTGGGTCGTTCCTTCCTTATTGTGGTAGATGCCTACTCTAAGTGGGTGGAGCTGTCCCTCATGTCTGTTACCACTACTGAGGCTATTACAAGAGTTTTGGAAGGGTTATTCGCGACACATGGCCTTCCTGACACCATTGTCACGGACAACGGCCCTCAATTTACATCAGCCCCCTTCCAATTGTTTCTCGCCAGGCTGGGCATTCGGCACGCACGTACTGACCCTTCACATCCGGCTGCGAACAGATTGGCGGAGAGGGCCGTGCGGTCAGCAAAGGAAGCCTTATACCGCCTAAGGGGGTCCGATTGGCACCATAGGGTCTTTCAGTATCTCCTGGCACAACACTCTACCCCTACTCCTACGTCAAGGCTCAGCCCTGCTGAACTATTGATGGGCCGGCGGCTCCGAATCACTTTGGACCGCCTTCACCCCAACTACGCTCAGGCAGGACGGCCTAACGTCCAGTTGCCCGCTAGGTCATTTGCTGTAGGGGATCTGGTCTATGCATTCAATGTTAATCGCGGGGAAAGGTGGATTCCTGGCAGAATAATACAATTAACAGGCCCCTACTCTTATAGGGTTCAGCTCACTGATGGGAGAGTGTGGAGGCGCCACATTAACCAATTAAGGCGACGTACTGCTGATGCAAACGACCCCATGTTGGCCCGTGAGGCACCCCCTTGTCCCTCGGTTACCGCACAAGGGTTGCAACCAATGCTTCCGGGCCCCGACTTCCTAGACCGTGCAGAACCGCTTGCTGCCTTACCACCATCACCTGGCGAAGTCATTGGTCCGGAGCTTCCACCACCTGTCAGTTTGCCTTCGCCGTTGGTCCCAGAATCTGACGTGGCAGACACACCTTCATCTGAACCGATCCTTCGCCGCTCGGGGCGGAGCCGACGCCGGCCGGCGTACTTGGCTGATTATGCATGCACGGTCCGGGTGGGAAGGAGTGTTGAGTCTTATGCCTAACTAGCGTTTTGAATGTTGATTGGAGCAGCCACTACAACAAAAGTAGCGGGAGCCACCAGCTGTCGGATTGGCTACACAATTTGACAGCTTGCTATATAAGCCTCGCACTGAGGAGAATTGTTCGTTCGTTGTGCTGTTTTGGTTGTCAGTTACTGTTGTTGCCTCTCGTTTCTATAATAAACAGCTGTTAATGGGCGCCCGCTTCTGGTGTGTTTAATCTGAATACACAACAAAACTTTAATTTGTTTTGCTCCTGGGAGTGTTTTATTTGCTTTTGTTTGCATGTTGCTCTTTTGGTTGACCTTTCTTTTTACTATATCGTTTTTTCAGTTATTTAGGAGTCTAGTGGTCCACTTCAGGAAACTCAGTTTTGCAGCAATTCTTCTCAGTCCCAAGGAGCTTACAATCAACAAGTCTCTCTCTGTGTGTCTTGCTTCTCTCTCTCTCTCTCTCTCTCTCTCTCTCTCTCTCTCTCTCTCTCTTCTGGAGGCAGGGGAGGTAAAAAACAGGGCATGAGGATGCCCCGGGAGGCCTCTGTGTGCCCCATTTTTGGCTTGCAGAGTGCTACTGGAGGCAGGGGAGGCCAAACATGGGCCCATTTTTGGCCTCCAGGGGCATCTGCATACCCCATTTTTCACCTCCTTGCCTCCAGAACCATTCTGTAGGCCAAAAATGGCCCAAAACAGGCAATTTTTTTGCCTCCTTGGGCATCTGTGCACCCCGTTTTTCACCTCCACTGCCCCCAGAACCTCTCTGCAGGCCAAAAATGGGCCAAAACATGCCTTTTGGCCTCTTAGGGTGTCCATGCACCCCGTTTTTCACCTCCCCTGCCTCCAGATCAACTCTGCAGGCCAAAAACGGGCCAAAACGTGCCATTTCTTGGCCTCCCAGGGCATCTGCACACCTTGTTTTTCACCTCCCCTGCCTCCAGAACCTCTCTGCAGGCCAAAAATGTTGGCCTTACCTTCCAGTTCCAGTCCGTGGGGCTAGTGAAGGTAAGTCTTGCGGTCAGCCAAAGGGTGGGGGCCGATGGGTGGGGCGATGTGGGCGGGGAAGCCTCGTGGTCTTGCACGGGCCGGATTAATGACTTCGGCAGGCCATATATGGCCCACGGGTTGTAGTTTGAGGACCCCTGCTCTAAATTCTCACTATCTATGGACCAAAGACAGTCCTAGACTTACAACCATTTGTTTAGTGGCCATTCGAAGATACAATGGCGCTGAAAAAAGTGACTTATTGGTCACACATATGACCGTCGCAGCATCCCTGCAGTCATGTGACCAAAATTGTTTCTTATTTATGACTGTTGGTGTGAACCAGGGTCATGTGATCATCTTTTGCAAACTTCTGACAAACAAAGTCAATGGGGAAGTCAGATTCACTTAACAACAGTGTTTACTAATAACAACTGCAGTGGTTCACTTAACAACTGTGGCAACAAAGGTCATAAAAATGGGGCAAAACTCATTTAACAACTGTCTCACTTAGCAACAGAAATTTTGGGCTCAATTTGTGATCATAGGTCGTGGACTACCTGTATATGGAAAAAACCATCTCCCTGATTGGATGTGATTGCACAACCCCCATGGATGCTGAGATATTGTCATGCTGGTTGTGTCATCCACGATCTGTAGAATCACACATCAAGTAAAATGACTGTCCTTTGTGCATTTCTTTAAAATGAGATTGAAAAGTATAAAAATAAGAACAATTTGATGGCATGTTAAAAAACAAATAGTTTATAGTTGAACAGTGACTATGCTGGGAAAAGAGTTTAATTCAAACAATTCCTCAACATACAGGTTTTCAATGGTTTGTTTGTAGGTTTGCTTGTCTTCTTAGTATTGGAAAGTAGTAAAACACATTTTTCTGCAATTGCACTGTGAAGTGATAAAGCCCAATAACTTCTTTTAAACATTTACTGGCTTACCTAATATCTGCTGTCCCTACACAGACAGATTGTATTCAATAGCAAGTCATGTATTTGAATTCCCTGCAAAGTTTATGCCATGAGATACAAACCTTTTCTAAGAATGTGCAAAATGAGAAATAGGTTTTCAATAGCCATGCTATTACTTCAGGATCGGGCTATCTTTTGCCTTATTACTTATTTCAGTTTCTGTTTTTAAAAGGGATCTTCTTGATCTTTGTTGCTTATAAGCAATACCGGATTACTTGTTCTTTTGCAAACAAACTGTTACAGGGATGAAATGAAATAAATAAAACTTTGCATACTCTAGTGTAGCATAAATTGGTCCAGTCAAGTTAACAGCCAGATTATCAAGCAAAAATTTTTTTAAAGTCTCCAGAAAAAAATGTGTATATCACTCTTATTTCCTCTTTTAGGTTGGAATGAACTGCTGATTGCCTCTTTTTCCCATCGCTCTGTTTCTGTACAGGATGGTATCTTACTGGCCACCGGCTTACATGTGCATCGGAGCAGTGCACACAGCGCTGGAGTGGGCTCCATATTTGACAGGCATGTTTTTATTCTTAATTCCAGCATTTGCATCTTCCTAAATGACTTCTGGTTAGTTTTGATAGAGTAAGAAAAGCTTAAATAAGTACTTCTGAAATTTGTAGGAAAGGAAAGGCTGCCTGGGTTTATGCAGGTCTAAATGCAATTTATGCAACTTCTCTGCTCTAATTTTGTTCCTTTAAAAAAAAAATTGATTTTAAGAAATAGCCTTGGGATTCATTTACACACCAATATATGCCAAGTTGCTAGTTCCCTGGTTCGCATATTATTCTGCAATTTCTTATAGATGGCTGGTTTCTAGCATTATTTGTGTTGCTTTTCTGATGTAAAGCTCAAGGGAAATTTTAAAAAAATAATAAAGTGATGGTGACATTTTTTACCGACTATCCATTTCTTCTTACTATGGCCAAGGACAAGTATAAAAAACGGAAAGAGGGACACATAACTAAGACAGGATATCAGCAGACAGCCAGAATCTGCAAAGACGAAGTCAGGAAAGCAAAGGCTCAGAATGAACAAAGACTTGCAACAAAAGTCAAAGATAACAAAAAAAGTTTCTTCCAACATATAAATAACAAGAAAAAAGAAAAAAATCAAGGAAACAGTCGGTCCACTAAAGAGAGAAGATGGCAAGGAAGTAACAGGCAACAGAGAGAAAGCAGAGCTGCTTAACTCATCCTTTTCATCAGTCTTCATGCAAAAAGAAACTATAGCCCAACCTACAAGAAACATAACTGTAAAAAACAGACTGGAAATAAAAGTTAAAATAAGTAAAAAAATAGTAAGAGAACACCTGTCTGATCTTGATGAATACAAATCACCAGGACCTGATGGATTACATCCCAGAGTTCTAAAGGAGCTGGCAGATGTCATTTCAGAACCATTGTACCACATCTTTCAAAAATCCTGGAACACCGGGGAATTACCAGAGGACTGGAAAAGAGCTGATGTGGTTCCCATCTTCAAAAAAGGGGGGGGGAAAAAGCAGACCCAGAAAACTACAGACCAATCAGCTTAACATCAATACCCGGGAAGATACTGGAAAAGATAATAAAAAAACAGATCTGCCAACACCTAGAAATGAGTAAAGTGAGTAAAGTAATAACTAGAAGTCAGCATAGGTTTGTTAAAAAGAAATCATGCCAAACCAATCTTATTTCATTCTTAAACATAGTGACTAAATTAGTAGACCATCAAAGTACTTTGGACATAATATACTTAGACTTCAGCAAGGCATTTGACAAAGTAGACCACAACCTACTTCTTTGTAAACTAGAACAAAGTGGGATAGATAGCTTTATCACCAGATGGATTCACAACTGGCTAATAAACAGTACTCAACGAGTAGTATTTAATGGGTCTAAGTCTACATGGAGAGAAGTAAGCAGTGGGGTGTCACAAGGTTCCATCTTAGGCCCAGTACTCTTCAATATCTTCATAAATAGATGACGGAGTAGAAGGGGAACTCACCAAATTTGCAGATGATACTAAGATGGCAGGAATAGCTACACCCTAGAACAGGGGTCGGCAACCTTAAACACTCAAAGAGCCACTTGGACCGGTTTCCTACAGAAAAAAAACACACAGGAAGCCACAAAACCTGGGTGGGCATGGCCAACTCGATGTCACTCACTCCCACCCAGTCACATGACCCCTAGCCATGACTACCCAGCCACAAAACCATTCTCTATGTCTCTCTCCCTATCTCCCCCTCTCTCCCCCCTCTTTCTGTATCTCTGTGTCTCTGTCCCTCTCCCTATCTTCCCCTCTTTCTCCCCTCTGTGTTTCTCTCCCTCTGTATCTCTCTCTCTCTCCCTCTCTCTATGTATCACTCTGTGTGTGTCTCTACGTCTCTCTCTCTCTCTCTCTCTCTCTGTGTGTGTGTGTGTCTGTCTGTCTGTCTGTCTGTCCCCCTCTCCCTTCAGGTGACCATCCTTCTTTTCCCCTCTCCTCTGGCCGGCTGTGGCTGAACCAGGAGCATGTGCATGCATGAGGAGACCCTTCTCAAGCAAGCGCCAAAGCTCAGGAAAGGCACACGCAGGGCAGGAAACAACTTGCTTAAGGAGGGTCTCCCTGTGCGTGCGCATGCTCCCGGTTCAGCCACAGCTGGCCAGGGGGTCATGAGAGTAGGAGGGCGGAGGAGAGTGCAGGAGTGAAGTGGCCCTGTACCTGCCTTCGCACCACATTTGCGCGTAAGGCAGCCTTCGCTTCCTGCTGTTTTGGGCTGGAGTCCAAAAAATAAGAGGGGTGAGGGGCGGGGCCAACCAGTGATGGGACAGGGAGCCGCGACAGAGGGCCCAAAGAACCGCTTGTGGCTCCGGAGCTGCAGGTTGCCGACCCCTGCCCTAGAAGATAGGCTCAAGATCCACTGGGATCTTGACAGACTTGAACACTGGGCCCTATCTAACAAAATGAAATTCAATGTAGAGAAAAGTAAAGTCTTGCACTTAGGTAAGAAAAATCAAAAGCACACATATAAACTGCGGGAAACCAGGCTTAATAGCAGTGACTGTGAGAGGGATCTTGGAGTCTTAGTGGACAACCAGCTAAATATGAGCCGGCAGTGTGCAGCAGCAGCCAAAAAAGCCAATGCAATCCTAAATTGAATTAACAGAGGGATACAATCAAGATCAAGTGAAGTACTAATACCTCTTCATAAAGCCCTAGTAAATTCACACCTAGAGTACTGCATTCAGTTTTGGTCACCACACTATAAAAAAAGATGTTGAGACTCTGGAAAGAGTGCAGAGAAGAGCAACCAGGATGATTAGGGGACTGGAGGGTAAAACATACGAAGAACGGTTGCAGGAACTGGGCATGGCCAGTCTAGTGAAGAGAAGGACCAGGGGAAACATGATAGCTATTTTCCAATACTTGAAGGGCTGCGACAGAGAGGAGGGGGTCAAGCTGTTTTCCAAAGCACCTGAAGGCCAGACAAGGAATAATGGATGGAAACTGACCAAGGAGAGATTCAACCTAGAAATGAGGAGGAACTTTCTGACAGTGAGAATAATCAACCAATGGAACAGCTTGCCTTCGGAAGTAGTGGGAGCATCATCACTTAAGACTTTCAAGAAAAGATTGGACTGCCATTTGTCAGAAATGGTGTAGGGTCTCCTGCTTGAGCGGGGGGTTGGACTAGATAACCTATAAGGTCCCTTCCAACTCTGTTAATCTGTTAAGAGCATGAATGGAAATGATCCAGCTGCTCTGAATGGAACAGCATGTATGAATGAATTTAAATTCTTTCTGTTTACTGCCCATCAGCTGTAGTCTTGGGCAAAAGCCCCAGCTGAAGAACCCTAGTTAAATTCTCTTTATGAAAATATTAGTGGCCACTTTATTAAAACTGTACTGATTAACAAAAATATAGGATTTATTTTTTCTGCACAATTATATGTACATATTGCCTATATAAGACCATATCTTAATTGCATGTCTCCTTCCTCTGTGACATGATCATTATGAGGCAATGTCAAATAATAATGGATATGGTTAATACAGGTCATATACAGGAAAAGTAATTCCTTTTTCTGATGAATGGAGTATGTTGATCTAATGAAGATATGGGAATATTTCAGTTTCCCCCTATATAGCCTAGATAATTAGATAATCTAATGAAAGAAAGAGATAATACAGACGCAATGCACAGGCATATTCTAAAGGTGCAAGCCATAGAAAGGATTAATAAAGAATATATCAGCGAGGCGGGGAAAAAAAACCCTGATATGATAGGCTGAAGATATTTTATGAAATCCATGTAGAATTAACACTGCAAACATAGTAGACAATAGGAGATTGGAAGGAATGATCTGTACTTCTAGTTGCTCAAACACAGGGGAGTCAAACTCAATTTCATTGAGAGCAGCATCAGGGTTGTGTTTGACCTTGGGGGGCCAGGGTGGGCATGGCCAGCTCAATGCCACTTGTGTCAGGGGCACCTGTGGTGGGCCGAGCCCTCTGCCAGCGAAAACAGGCTCCCAAGCTCTGTTTCAGCTGCAACGGCCTCCTGCAACCCTCTGTCAGCAAAAATGGAGCTTGGGAGTGCCACCCACAGCCCTCCCAAGCTCCATTTTCACTGGCAGAGGCACTGTAGGCCAGTCCTTCACTGTTCCAGGGCAGTCCCGCGGACCAGATTTAAGCACCCCGCCGGCTGGATTGGCCCCTGGGCCTTGAGTTTGACACTCCTGCCCAAACAGATCAAAAAGATTAACACTTTATACGAGTTTTTCATTTGTGGCTTTAGTTATAGCTTTTCCTAATTTAATTCAAATGTTCCTTTAGAATTGTCCTCCTTTGGAATAAATATATAAAATAATTGAGACAAAAATATGAAAGACACTGCAAAGTAATGAAGGCATGATATCACTTGACTGATACAGTTATTTGTTTATTGCATTTTGATATTGCCCCATTCCCAATAAAATCCTGGTGATGCACCACATAAAACATATTAAAACAGAATAAAAATTACACAAGAGTCTCTAAAATAGCCAGAATCATACTAACACAGTTCTAACATCTAACCATTAACAATTCTCTCGAAAGCTCTCTTTCCATCAACAGCCTAAAATCTGGCAGCAAAGGTGATATGCTGATTTCTACAAGAAGGCTGTTCCATAGAGTTGCAGACCTCATAGAGAAGCTTCTTCCACCTTCCCCCAAATTTCTCACAAGAGCACCCTTCTCTAGGACATGCAAACTGAATGAGTCAGTTTTAATTGAAACAGATAATTCTGCAGGTATTTGCATTCCAAAACATACAGGGCTTTTATCACTGCTTTGATTAAAATCCCAGCTTGAACAGGGATTTAAAAAAACAGTACTGAGCATCCATTTGCGTGAAGATTACTCTATTTCCCTGTTTAAAAAAATCAGGTTTTCCACAACTGTGAAAATAGATGGGAGAGCTACTGCAAAAATGCAGCGTGACTCTAATTGATTATAGTGTTGAATTGATGCTTCATTAAACAAATAAACAAAAAACCCCAAACCCAGCTCCTGGTAATTCCACACTACTTCACCACAGAGTGGGACAACTTGCAGTGGCCAACTCGCCACAGAACAACTCGCTGCAGACAACTCGCCATGGGACAATTCTACATGGGATAACTCCATGTGATAAATGTTATTTGCCATGTTTCTTTGACATTATTTCCATTTTTGTGGAAATGGACAAAAGTGAAAATAATGTCAAAGAAACAGTGGCAGATAACATCTATTGGGTTGAGTTATCCATGTGGAATTGCCCCATGGTGAGTTGGCCATGGCAAAATGGTTGTGGTGAGTTGTCCTAGACCCACTTAACCACTGCTTAGAGTAGAAGCACCAGTAATGCATGCATATAATTTGATTCACTCATTCCCCTTCTTCCTTGTCTCTCTTTGCAGAGTTCTTACTGAGTTGGTATCCAAAATGAAAGACATGCAGATGGATAAGTCTGAACTGGGGTGTTTGCGAGCCATTGTCTTGTTCAATCCAGGTTAAGTATTGAGTCTTGGGAAGGCTGCCATCTTCCCCAGGAAATTCTCATGCCTCTCTACACCCAGCTAATTTAGCCATTGACTACGCTGGATTCTGAGGAGCAGAGAGTTTTTTTTTCTTGTGACTTTTCATAATTGATTTCTTTTTGTTTGTTTGTTTTAATTGATGTTCAATGTTTGCCATTATCATGTTGCATTCACTGAGGCAGCAATGGTCTACAAGAAACAAAAAGGGTAAATGTATGGAAGAAGAGTTTCAAAGAAGAAAGAGAAATGGAATGCTACACAGAGAAGAGTAATTGAATAGCAATGGGGGTGGGTGGGAGGGGGTGGCAGAAGAAAAAAAGAGAAGGGATTATTTTTCACAAAATAGAAGGGAAAATGGGAATGCTGAGATTGTCCCAATGTTCAGTATTAACTATGTTACAACTTCTCAAGTTGCAGCTGTAACTATTCCATTATGTTATGAACAGCTACATGCCCTTTCATAGATTTCTTTTTTTTTTTTTATTGAAAAAGTTTTTCAAATACAAGTTTTTCCCCCTTTTCCTCCCTTCTTCCCCAACCCGCCCTCACCACCCATCCCCCCCCCTGTGACTTCTTCTTCACAACAATAAGCTAATTCATAATTAATTACATAATATTTTACCATGCCCTTACTCACTCCTCAAAGTACTGACCCTTAGCAAAGTATTCTTATAACTCCGCTTTTCTCCGCTTTTCACAATCTACCCTTTTTCTCCTCCCCCAAACTTGTAAAATATTATTATTATTACAACAACATAACCTTTACTTTTATATATATTATATATATTAATTTAACATTTCAAAGCAGCCTTCTCCAAATTTAACATTTGTTCAGTTCTATCCGATTCTTCCACTCCCCAAAATATATGTCTTAAAAATCCTTTTTCTTAAACTAATCAATCACTAAACTAGCCTATTTCAACCCAGTTTCCTGCAAGATTACCATACACTACAATTCTAAATATAATCCACTGCCCACTCTACTAAAATATACATATGTCTATATATACATTCCATTTTATAAAAAAAGACAATAACTTTAAATTTATAATTCATTTAGTATCTTCTTTGATGTCTTTCCACTAGATTGTTAAATCCATCATCCATAATAGGGTAACATAGCATCCTGGTGCAACAGTTTATTCAAAATCTTCAGTCGTCTTCTGCCCCCATCAATAATAAATATCCTCATGTATATATAAAAATAAAAACAACTACCCGAGTGACATTATAATTATATTCCATATAGTTGTAATTGTGGTTTTCATCAGGATTATAAATCCCCATCATCTTTGTGGGTAACAGCCAGATCTTCTGCATGCCCCAGCATGACTCTCTTGCCTTGTAACTCAAAATAGATATAATATATTTATCGGTAAAAGAAATCCAAAATAGATAGTTCAAATCCAACAATGTAAGGCTCTTTCCACATCCCAAAATCACGGCATTGCAGAGATCTGCCACTTTCCTCAAGATAGTATTAAACGATAATTCGCCTCCAATATCTTTTCACATGTTCATTTATTTTTTTAAAATCCCTGGCTTCACTGTTGCTTGATTTAGAAACTACTATTTCTACGAAATCTGTTTCTTTTCTTTTTCTTTTGCGGGTTGCATTTCCATCCAGATTTCCTTCCTACAAGTTGTGTATCAGCTGATCGGTTGTCATTCTGCTTTGTAAATTGATCTTGTTGGTTTTGTTTTATTATCCCATATGTCTTTTCCTTCACTTGTATATCAACTGGTTGATTTACGCACTTGTTTGTAAGTTGATAGTTAATCACATTAGAATCAGATGACACTGCTCTCAAATTTATAGACAGTCCAGCTGGGGTATCCAAGGAGTCCAAAGACAGTTTATCTACCACAGCCTCTGTAATTTGATGTTTTCCCTTTATTTCCAACTCCTTTTGCTTGTCCTGTGTTATGCCTAAAGATGTTAAATTTATTTTTAAAATTTTTTGATAAAATTCTTCCGCTTTTTCGACAGTAAAAAAAAAGGAATATTCTATTTAGGTGGGACGTCCCAGTTGGTTTAATATTGAGACACCAAGGAGTAAGATACCAACTGGACGTCCCACCTAAATAGAATATTCCTTTTTTTTAACTCATTCACTAGAAAACCAAATTTCTTCCTCTCCATTAACATCTTGGGCGGGAGTTCCTTAAAAATCCAAATCTTTCTTCCACGAAATTGCAAAGCAGAATCATAAGAATTCTGGACAATATTATTTCTAATTTCTTTGTCTGTAAAATAAATCACCACATCTCTAGGCAATTGCCTTTGTTTTGCCAACCAGGAGTTTATTCTATAAATTCTGTCAATCCTGCAAAACACTTCATCAGGTTGAACCTTTAAAATCCCAGCCAGAATTTCAGAAGATATCTTCCTTAAATCATCTCTGTCATCTTCCTGCAAACCTCTCAGTCTAATTGCATATTCTGTAAAATTGTATTGGATCATTAAAACTTCTCTTTCAATCCTCTGTTGTACATTTTCTTCAATAACAGTCTTTTGATCAGCCTCCATTTTAAGTTTGTCTTCTGAACTATTATCCTGAATGTTTGCCAAATCCTTTTTAATTTTTTGGATCTTGTCATCCAAATTCTCCTCAGTTTCTTTCATTTTAGAGTTAGTATTTGCTTCCAACTGAGTCATAAAGTCTGCTAAGCCATTAGCTACTTTTAAAATCTTTCGATCCAGAAAGCCAAACTTAGATTTCACCAATTCACCAATTTCTTTGATTTCCAACTTAAATTTTTCAAGTTGCTGATTCACAATCTCATCCCTTCTTACAATCTCCTCAAGAAGAAATTCTATTATATTAAAGTCAGGTTTCTGTGACTGGAGAGTTAAAACTTGTTGATGTAATTTATTAATGGGGGAATCCCCCCCCACTGCCTGTTTGTCTAGTTTTATAAGTCTCAGTGCCATTTTTCCACGCAGACAAAATTTACTGGAAAAGAGAGAAAAAAAAAACTTTTTTCCAACCAAGATCAATATCAGATCCTCAAAGAGAAAGAAAAAAGAAAAAAAAACCGAAATGAGAGTGAGATTTTGCCTTCAGTTACAGCCAAAAGTATTCATTCCGCTACTTTGTAATTAAAAACGGAAGGAGTTTCCCTTTCAGCCTCTCTTCAAGCCGCAGCAGCAATCGCCATTTAAAAAAAAACTTTTTTCCCTTCACTTCACTTCTTAGGCAAAATAGAATAAAAAGAATACTTGCGCTTCAGAATCAAAGGTCCAGCTCATATCTTCTTTAATTAATTTATTTGACAGATTTACAGGCTTGCTTTTGCCCCCTAGCTCTGCGTGTAGCAGAGATTTCCCAGAGCCCGGAGCATCGGCTGGGGATACGGGGAGTCTCTTCCGCTCCCTCCCAAAAGTAAATAAAAAACTTTTGGGATTAGGCAGAGGACTCTACCCACCCCAGCCGGCTCTATCTCCGTTTCCTAATGGAAACGGAGTTTTTTCGAGCCGCCATTCCGCTGAAAAAGGCGGCTCTTACAGGCAGTGGGTTCGACGATCCCGAAGGAGTGTCCAGCCGGGACAAGCAGCAAACCGGAAGTGGCCCTTTCATAGATTTCTTAAAACAGATAACAAAGTTTATTTATATTTCATAAAATTGTTAGATTTTTTTCATATAATACACAATTTAAGAATCAGTATGACTGTTTCTGATGATATTATTACTTGTCCTAAATGGTGCAGCACTTTCATCCCTAAGGATGAGTACAGCTTTTTTAAAAATTGGATACGGTTTTTTCAGGGACTGGAATATTGGTCCCTCTTTTTAATCATTTCCCTCTATTGTCACTGCATCAGATGCCAAAGGCCTGTCCAGTCCTGCAGAGGTAGAATTGCTACGTGAGAAAGTTTATGCTACTCTGGAGGCATACACAAAACAGAAGTATCCTGAGCAACCTGGAAGGTAAATAGAAATTGCTTAGGCTGCTTAATGCATAATGATATTAAGATGATACCAAATTATGTCAATCGTGATGTTTTTGTATCCTTAGCTTGAGGTTATATTGAACATCACATTGAGCTATCTAGAAGAATATTGAGTCATAAATAAAATGAATAAATGCTCTTTTTTTTCTGTGACTGAGCCTTCAACTCCAAACTGAAACTGGAAATGTTGTAAGTGTCTACAGGCAACCTAAAGAGAGAAAGAAGGAAAGAGGGAAGACAAGGGGTAAGTTAGGATGAAGTGGAATATGAACTAAAATTGCCCAATTAGCCTCATGGTTAAAGCAGAGAATGATACTCAGTACTCTATGATCAAAAGTTAGATGTAATATCAAATGTTTTTAAGCATCTTTTGTCAATATTAAATACTTTGTTTCTGCTCTCTAGAATTACACTGCGTTATTTTTCTAGTACATAAGAATAGTACCGAGACATTATACAAGTAGATACATACTGTATTTCTTCTGGGTTTCCATTGCTCAAGAAGGGAAATAAATCATCCAAAGTGGTTTTGAAGTTTGCCATGGGAGTCAGAGGCAATTATTCCCAGGATGTTGCATTGTCTTTTTTCAGCTGAAGTTGGCAATCAAATCTTCTCTCTTTATTCCCGCCACCCCTCTAAAGACCTTGTAAGGTTATTAGTGCACTTACCTTAATACAAATCCATTTTACTCCTTCTTCTGCTCCTCCTGCACTAATGGGTTAGAGTTTCTAAGGAAGGATATCCACAAAGCACAAGATTTGGGGAATCCTACCTTGCAAGATTTGTGTTGGCAATGTTAATCTTACAACATTTTGGCTATACATGAACTAAAAGAGCCTTGGTAGTACAGTGGTCTAAGGCACCCTGTTATTAAGCTGGTTATTAAGACCAGATGCCTGCAATTACTGCAGGTTCGAATCTCGCCAAGGCTCAAGGTTGACTCAGCCTTCCATCCTTTCTAAGGTAGGTAAATTGAGGACCCAGTTGTGGGGGCAATAAGCTGACTTTGTATAAATATACAAAAGAATGAAGGCTATTGCTTAGCGCATTGTAAGCCGCCCTGAGTCTCCGGAGAAGGGCAGCATATAAATCAAATTTAAAAAAAAAAAGCAAGCACAATCACAAATAATTCCAGAGAGGGAAAAAATTGGAAAAACAGCAGAAGGAGCCATTGTGACTAGACAAAGAGTTTGATGAATATCTAAAAATTAAAAAAGCATATATGGGAGGTGGAAATAGAAACAAGTCACCAAGAAAAAGTCAATTTGATAGCGTGAAAGGTGCCAGGAAAGCTAAATCTCAAAACGAGCTTGGCACAGGATACTAAGATTTTTTTAAAATAGGGAATTAAAGGAAAAGATTAAGTATATCAGAAGTTTGATGAAAACAGTACAAGGATAACAGGTAATAGAAAAAAAGGCAAAACTGCTGAACTCATCTTTTTGCTTCATCTTTTCTGAAAAGAGGACTTGAGTTACATTGGATAACCGTAGGAGCTGAATGAAAGTGTAAGATTTCAGCTCAAGCGTAGACATGACATAGAATACCTATTGACTCTGAATAGGTTCAAATTCAAATCTGCATTTTAAGATATTGAAGAAACTTGCTCATGTCTATCTTGAATATAATCCATTGCCTTTAAAATATCCTGGATGACATACCAGTTGATTGAAGGAGAACAAAGGTTTCCATCTTCAAAGAGGATGGTTCTCAAAGAACTAAAAATCAAGCACTTTGACATTAAGGATTCAAGAGCAGGCGAAAAAAAATCTGTAAGTATCTGTAAATAAAACAATGCAGTGGTTACTAGACGTTGACATGTCTTTGTTAAGAATTAGTGTCAGAGTGTGCACAGGGTGACTATGTGAGACAACCCAGGAGCTTCCCCTACCTCAGGTACATAGACTTTACCTTCCCCTTTAACAGCAGATTGTTGTCCATTAGCCAAACTAACAAATGTTTGCTTAGCTGGTCTCAAGCCAGAAAACATTTGTGGGTCATTTGGAATATGTTGACTCACCCCACTGTCCAACAACCAAGTGTTTCTGGTGTTTTCAGACACTGTTGCTGCCAAGGAAAAAGATGACGATAAAAAACCACTCCTCATGTGTTGAGTAGCTCTATGACCTTGTCTTGCTGCTCCTCTGTTTCTCCTCTCAGGGCAGCATCTCTGGAGATGCTCTGTAGAACCACACGTGAAGCAACATTTCACCATGTAAACAGTCACAGCTGCTCTGCTTGCATCTTGAGATGTTGCAGATGTTGGCCTGTGCTGAGCATTATCTCCTTCCTTTCCTTGTCACCTTTCAAGACGTTTCTGTTCTTCCTCCAGCAATCGGCCAGTCAAATACGTCATGGTTAAGTCCCTCTCTTGCATAGACTCTAGGCTAGTCACAAAAATGTCCCATGAAGTGTCCAACGAACTGAGCACCACATATACCTTGTGTGCCTCAGTAAACATCATTCCTCTTTCCTCTAACTTCATGTCTTTGTCTTTCTCATAGCCTGCATGTTCATACTTAGTCTGTGTGGACATGCTCTCCCCTGGCTTCAGTTGTGCTTTATACAGTCTCCTTATCAGCAACATTTTACTGCCGGCAGTCTCTCTAACATACACACTGCGCAAAGCCTCCCAGCACTCTTTTGCAGACCGGAGACCTGTACCAGCTGATGTATCACATGTATCAGCTGATTGTCCTCTAAAGCCAGAATTATGCTGGCTAATGCCTTTTCATTTCTTCTCCGGTCCCCATCATCCAGGACTGCTGGTGGATTAGTAACTATTGTCCACAAATCCTCCCTTCGGAGGTACCTCTCCATCTTTACACTCCAGGAGAGGTAGTCTGTCTCATTCAGCCGAGACACCACAAAACCTCCTCCCATTACACTGACGGAATCCATGTTGCCTGTTTACGTTACAAGCCCCAACCACTAACAAACCAAGATGCACAACCTCTCTGGCTCTGGTGCAAGCTCTCACTGGGTTTCTCTTCTCTCTGGTTTCTTTAGTCACTCTGGCCTTCTCTCTGGACTCGGTCCATAACCTGTCAGAGTGCGCACAGCGTGAGACAACCCAGGAGCAAATACAGTAAACAAGTTTGTATGTACAGTAAATAGTGGTTTTATCTACAAAGAATATATACATACACATACTTTAGTCAGACCTCAAACAAACAGCAATCAGCAATTACAGCACAGAAACACACACAAAGAGAGAGATACGCCCCAACAGGGCCTCTTCTTATTACAGGCTCTTAAAGTGATATCAGCTCAAACACCTTGCTGACTCATTCCCAATATTACATCATTGTAGCAGCTGGTCAACTCTTAAATCGTTACCCTGACAATTAGTCTCATCAGATTAACCTAATCTCAATTTTTGAATTTGGCAAATCACCAGGAAATTCATTCAGTAGTAACGTAGGATGCTTTAGCTGGCTCTAGAAATCTAAATGCATCCAAGGTCAGTCAATATTTACTGACTATTCTGTTGTCAAGCTCAGACTCAGATCCTGCCTTTTAATCATCTATTTGAAATGATGAAGTGGAACATGGCCTCCACTCCAGGAAGACTAAACCAATCTAGGAGCGGAGTATTTTATCTTTTTCTCTGTTACTTGCTATCTTTTGCCATCTTCCCAGAGTAGCTAGAATGTCAGGACGGCCTCCTTTCATTATCCAAGAAAGAAAAACCCCGACTCCATTTTCATAGAGAAAGGTAACTTTTACTGGATAAGAACTGAATGCAGTCAAAGAAAAGCAAGGTCTGAAGCAAAGGCGCGAAAATCACGTATAGAAAGCATCCCCTCCAACTGTCCAGCGTAAATCATCCAATCCACAGGTTCTCCAGGGGTCATGTGGGAGCAAACGTCTGGCAGTGTCATCCTCTTGCTATGCCACGACCATTGACCTTGAGACGTTATCAGCTTCAAAGAAAACGCTGCAGCAAAGAATTACTTTCTTTTTCCTCCAGTTCACTTACCCCTCTCAAGAATCCCAAGAGCTGCCCCCTCCCCCCGTTTCATGGCAGCCGAGCAAGCAAGCAATGAAAGAGCGGAGGCTGACATAGTGTACTGCTTCTTTTCTCTTGGTTTCATTTTGAACATATTTAAAGAGCACTTGAATTTTTCTTCACATGCTTCTTTAATTTCCACTCATTTTTTTTTGACACCGTCTCTGCAAATTTGGACTACGTCTGTGTGTTGTTTGATGACCTTTTCCCCTTACCTATATGTGTGTGTATGTGTGTCATTTTAAATCAGATTTTCATCAGATTTTTGGCAGAGATACACTGGCTTGTTTCTATTGTTGAATATTGGATTTGAGAAGGATTTTGCTTTTAGCATCTTCATTTTAAGGAACTCTTTGGCCTATTTTTCTTACTAACTTACTAACTTCTCAGGCCATTGAAAATGATTTGGAGCTGATTTTCATGACCAGCTTTTTCCAGTACATGTACTGGCCCATTTCTAGAGGGCAGGCATGCACAACATCATCCTGTACTACTACTATTACTATTATGTGATTGATCACTAACCAAGGTAGTCACTGAATGAGGAATGGCTGTATATACAAGTTCACTGATAAAACAGTGGAAGACTGGTCTAGTCTGGTTTAGTTCAATCTTTTTAAGTGCAATTGACAAGAAGTCGGACACTTCCTACTTCCAGCCCAAGGGACAGAAAAATCGTAATACTTGTGATGTTTACTTTTTGATTGTCCCCCCACACCTGCACTGGTAAAGAAATGGGTAGATCCACCAATAAGAGAGTTTAATTAATTAGATGTATACTCTGCCTTTCAAAGCAGTATATATAGTGTTCTTGCCTCCTGTTTTCCCCATAACATGGGTTCTAATGAGATAAAGCAACCGGCCAATAGACACCCAGACTTTCATGCCTAAGGGAGGACTAAAATGCCTGGTATCCTGATTTATAATCCAGCAACCCAGACAGAATACCAGGTCATCACTGGGGTCAAAGCAGAATAATGGACTGAAATTCAGACAGGGATTTCTGAACCCAGCCATTTCAGCCTGGCGTTGTAGTGCTGTAAAGTGGAAAATTCCTGAGAGCTATTTTTAAATAGAATACAAAAAATGGAGAAGGGTGAGGGATGAATATAAATGTGGCTGGATGTGGGCTAGTACTCCAGTGTATTTGGCCCTGAAAACTTATCTAGGAAAAAATACAGTTCTTTGTTTGAAAGAGAATCTCCACATAAACATTTTATAATTTTTATGTTGTCCTATTCTGCCATCTGCTGGACAACATTTAGACTGCTAAAATAAAAAACAATCACATTTTCTGAATTATTTTAAAATCCTTTTTGTGTTCTTCATCTCCTTTTTTTGAGCAGCAGTATTTTAAACCAGCCAATTAATACTTCTTGTTCAATATGCATAATTAACAGAATAGTATCATACAGAGATGACTTACAGAGAAAAGAGACCTCTAACTGAAGAGAATACTGGCATTTGAAATGTATTCCCATAGCATTTCAAATTATTCAATTTTAATTATATTATGGCAAATTTAGTAATAGATAGAAGGGGGGAGATAATACTAAATTTTACACATACATAAACACACCACATACCCTTAATTTCATTAAAGAATTTTTGAAAAGGAAGATAACTAATACAAATGAATATAAAGTAAGAAAAAGAAATCAAGGAGAACGTTTAAAATGCAAGAAAAAAAATAGAAAATAAAGAAAAAAGATATAAAGAAATAGTTTCTAATCTTTTTTTACAGCAGTTATAAGTACAATTATTATAAATTTACCACTTACTCTTTGGTTACAATATAACTCTCATTTTCCTGTAATCTAATTAGCAATAATAATTAGCAAATTCCAATTAGCAATAAAAGTACATATTGTCTTTTTTCTAATTAAATAAGTCAATTTAGCCATTTCAGCCACTCCTATCATATTTACCAACTATTCCTCCATTGTGGGTAATGTCGAATTTTCCCATCTTTATGCAAATAATAATCTTGCTGTAGTTATCATGTACAAAAACAATGTTCAATGACATTTTCCCAACTGTTTGTCCATCAAACCCGAGACAAAAAACTCAATTGTATATCCTCCTTTAAAATCCTCTGAATCAACGTGTGTATCTGAATTTTAAAAAATTGTAGCTTTTTTACCCATCCACTGAACATGATAAAATGATATGTCCCTTCTTGTTATTCAGATTTCCAACATATATATTTCTAGACAATTTCTCTGAAGATATGTATCAACAGTAAACAATTTTATAAATTATAAAAATAATATTATAAAAAATCTCTTTAAGGTTATAACATAGCATATATATACGAAGTTTTAAATACAAGTTTAAGAACGTTTTAAATGTAATAAACATCAAAAGGGTGATTAAAACTTTTAGAAAGTTACAAATGGACTAAGGATCCAGATAAATTTAAAATAAGTTTTTGGAATTAAAAAGAACACATTAACTTGACTTATAGTTACAGAATAAAGCAAAATATTCTAATATTAGGCAAATTGAAGGATATTTTTGATACAATGGACTCTGAAGGTTACTAGTGTCAACAGAGATATCTGCCTCTATGAAAAGACTGCATCTAAAAATCTTATGGAGGAGGAACAAGTTCTACCTGACAAGACTGAGTTGAAAGTGTATTTACAAATGCATTTATTTATTTAGCATATGGCAATGTTACATTAACTGGGAGACTACAATGCTAGTGCAGAGTAGTGGTTTGGCTGCCTGTTAGCTACCCCTGTTTGGTTCCCACTCATGTGCTTCCCAAGGTGTGAAACATGAGGGTGAGACATGTGGCTTTTCTGCAGCAGCAGCATCCAAGGCCCACTCCCTCCACTGAAGCTGCTTTACCAACAGGCATCACAACCTGGAAGGTTCAGCATCAGCAGGATTCTGACTGTCTGCACGAAGTGCCACCTCTTCACCCCACTGAAGTGGGGTATTTATTTACTCTTGTGCAGCATGCTAGGAGGGCAGAAGCTGAACCAAGTGACGGGAGCTCACCACACCACACAGTGCGAGGATTTGAACCACTGGAGCAAAGATGATCTCCAGCGTCATTAAGCGACTAAGTCACCATGCCTCCCATATTTATAAATGACAGGCTGCAACATGGAAAAAGATGTTACACTGAACATATAAAAGAGGTCTAATATCTTCATTAAAAGCAATATACAAATGATGCTCAAATAATATATCAAGAGAGTCATCTGATAATTTTCTTATATTGGATTTACAAAAGAGTTATTGTTAAAGTTTTGAAGAATCTTGAGGGGAGGGACAAAGAAACAATGAAAAGAGAATTTTACATCATTATTTGTTGTTGACCACTAAAAATCAAGACTGTTAGAAGTAAGAGGAATATAAATTTAATTCATTTGATCAAGGTTAAAATTCCTCATAACTCTTAAAATGATTGAAAGGACTGAAATGACAATGCATTATGGATTTGTTTATAGTTAAGAGATGTTATATAGGAAGAAGATATCATTTCTGCATTGTTAAGAGGAGGTAATAAGTTACTAGAATTATTTATGCTTGTTGGGATGTCACTTCTTTATTTCTTTATTTCTTTTTTATATCCTTTTGTCTTTCTATTTTTTCTTTTTTGCACCTTCCATTTCTTTTTATAGTTATATCTTTTTAATCTGTATTAATGTTTTACTTGTAATTGTAATCTTTAATAAAATATACACATATGTGTGTGTGTATACACACACACACACACACAAACAATTCTCTCTCTCTCTCTCTCTTTGTCTCTCTCTCTGTGTATGTGTATGTGTGTATAAAATCAATGGCATCCAAAGGACATATGGTTTTAACAATGTCAGATATCATAGCACTTGCATGCAGACTTCTGCTAGCTTGCTTCCAACCCAGTTCAGAAAAGGTGGGTTCTCTTTGACCTTGGTGTTACTAGCAGCCATTGATTACAGATTTTCCTCCCCCCTCTCTCTCCCTCCCTCCCTCTCTCTCTCCCCTCTCCCTCTTTCTTTCTCTCTCTCTCTCACCTTCCTTTCTTCCTTTCTTCCTTCCTCCCTTCCCTCCCTCCCTCCTTCTTCCAGATTTGCTAAACTACTTCTCAGGCTGCCTGCATTGCGATCTATTGGTCTGAAATGCCTGGAACATCTCTTCTTCTTCAAGCTAATAGGTGATACCCCTATTGACACCTTTCTTATGGAGATGTTAGAGACACCTCTGCAAATCACCTAATGAGGACAGAATGCTAACAAGAAAGCACAAATGACACCACTGAAGAGGTTTTGTTCCTGATCTGCCGGCTTTCACCCATTCCATTCTCCTGAATGTCTGTATGGAATGACTTTCAGAAAGGAATAGGAACTCCTATAAATGTTTAGCTTTTAAAAAAATGGAATGTTGTTCATATGCAAACTTTTAAATAGCAGCTAGGAGGAACAGGGCATCTTGCAGTTCATCAAAAATTATTTGTAGCTCATCAAAAAAAAACTTGTATGAATGATTGAGTTTAAATTATTTTTTCACTTCCCAAAAGATGAGAAATAAAATAATATATGAGTAATTAGTATGGAAGTCATTGCTGAGGTCCTGCTTTCTGGGTGTTCTGGAGAATGGAGTCAGGGAACTTCTCTTACAACATGTCATTTATATCCTTGTATACTTGTGTTCGTATTTTACCCAGAAAATAAATAAATAAATAAATACACACACACACACACACACACACACACACACTCACACACACACACACACACACACACACACACACATGATAAGAAACTTGCATTGGATATTGTTGACATCATAATTCCAAGATGGAACAGGATAATTTGGAATAGACTTCCATTCGTTTACATGATCTGAATCTGGGCTGTTTTATTTTAGATAGCAAAACCACATCCATGACTCTAGATTTTCTTTTGTTATTTTGTTGTGACAATATTTATAAATAACCTTTTTGACATGTTTCAGGTTCATACTACAACATAACTTCACATGGAAATGAAATCAATTCCTCAAAGGGACAATATTTTCACAATTACTTTGTACATATTCCTGCTGCACTTTGTTATGCGCAAGGAGGACAATACCCAAATGTCCAAACCTATCTGGAAGTAGAGGGGTTTATTCAGTTCAAATTCTCATTACATAGAATAGCTCAAATCAGAACAAGGAGGTTGAGCTATTTGGCTTAAAAACAAACTTTCATGATGTGGCTTCTTTTCTCTTGTGTTCCTAGTGGAAGCATTCTTAACATTTTGCTGGAAGTCTATCAACCCAGAAAATTCTTGCATTACTCTTATGAGGCACCAGAGGGCTCCCACACACAAAAGGATAGCAGAAAAGGAAGGATTGGAAATAGGGAGGTGGAAAAAGAAGAAGAAAAATTAGAATATTTAAAAGCTAAAACTGAAAGATGGTGGTCTCCATAACAACCGTCAAATGAGGATGACAAGTACTATGTGTTGTATGACTGTAGTTATGTTTTACAACAAAAAGCATACACACTTCTTATAATTCCTTATGTCCACATTTAATATTTCTTCTGCATTATACGATTCTGTTTTTTAAATAGTTTATGAAATTGCTGCTTATAGTGCATCCTATTCTTTTCTAATTTTTTATTATAAAAAAGTGGTGAGAGGAAATTATACTTTATTTGTATAAAGCGCGAAATAACCCAATCAGAAGAGTGACTATAAAACTAAAGTTTATATTATTGTGCACTTGAATTAAACAGAGAAGTTACATTTTTCATACATCTCTGTGATTAAATACTCTACCTTCAAGATAAATAAATGATTAACATGCAGCAAAATGTCATAATGATAAACTAATACAAAAAAGTCCTAAATGTCTGAAGTGTTGCACCCCACAATTATCTTTGGGCTATCTCAAATATCTCAAATCATGTATTTCAGGATGATTAAAGATTTTGTCTCATCCAGCCAAAGCTTTCTTCATACCCATAGAACAAAAGTATGTCATAACTCTTTATTGAAAATGAGGAGAAATGCCTAAATAGCTGAACTTCTGCACCTCAAAATACTCTTACAGCACTCCCAAATTATATGTCCGCATATGCAGAAGCATAACCGTAGTGTCATACCACCTTTGTGTCGTCTGATCATAAAACATGAATCAGGCCTTAAAAATTTAATTATCTTCATTTGTTTTGGTAAAGCTACATTTTCTTTTGTCCTCTGTAAGTATATTAATAAAATAATAATAACTTTATTGTCATTGTACAATATACATAACCGTAGTGTCATACCACCTTTGTGTCGTCTGATCATAAAACATGAATCAGGCCTTAAAAATTTAATTATCTTCATTTGTTTTGGTAAAGCTACATTTTCTTTTGTCCTCTGTAAGTATATTAATAAAATAATAATAACTTTATTGTCATTGTACAATATACACAGTATACGCATACGCATACACAGTATATACACAGTATACGCATACAACGAAATTCACTTAACACCCAAAGACCAGGTCCAACACACATAACAATCCCAAACACCCACCACCACCACCACAAATTCCCCACCCCTAAACCAGCCAAACATCCAACAACAGACCAATTAAAGGGCCACCATCAGTGAGCTAGTTCAATGTTGAGTGCAATTATAGCTCTGGGATAAAAACTAATACTGAGTTTGATTTAGACTTTCCAAATAAACATGGGAGGGGGGAGTCTTACAGGGAGATCTTTTGTTCAATCAACCAGCAGATTATTTGACATCCAACCAGAAAATTATCTGACATCACCTTCTTCACTAATAATTATACACAGTGGTGGGATTCAGCTAGTTTATACTGGTTCGGTCGAACCGGTTGTTAACTTTGTGTGCAGTTCGGTGAACCGGCTGAATCACCATATGGCTCACCCCTCCCCCTCTCAGATACTCCTCGGCTGGCCTCTCCTGAGCCCATTTTGGCATCTCGGCGCTCCTCTAACTGCCCCTCCCTTGCACCCAAATCCAAAGCAAGCCAAATCCGCACAGGCAAAATCCCAAGGCAACTCTGACAAGGCACTTGGAGGGAAGGGCTGGAACTACTAAAAAGGCAGCCAAATTAAGTGCCTGAAGGACCCCATCCATCACCAGGTGCCTCAGCGGGCGTTGAGCGAGGCTGGGCTCCTTGGCAGACAACGGGCTTTGCAGGGGGCCAATCTAGCGCCTGGAACCAGCTCTGCCCTAAGGACACCAGGGGTGTCCTTGGGGCTCCTGTGAAGAGGGGCTCAGGCCCTGTCCCTGCATGGTGCCATGATCCACAAATTGCTGCTGGCATTGCACGGCTACCCGGGTGGCCTCTTTATGGGCGGCCGCCTGCAAGTGGGTGCCCCTTGCCCCTCCCCTCCCAGCTACTCCTAACCCTGAGAAGGTAAGGCTGATGGTGGAGGAGGGAGACCAGCAGCTCTGGGCCCACCGCACAGTTAAGTATTGTATGATACATAAACAAAATATGTAATATGAATGGAATAATATCAAAAGAAATTGGAGTACAAGTATCCTATAGAATTTTTCAATTTGTTGAAGAATATGCCTCCTTCCTTATATGAAATTTTATAAACAAAAACACACACATATACTGCATCTGAAGGTTGAATCATGGCAACTGGACCAAACTTTGTTAATCTGAAATGTTTCGTTGCTCATCCAAGCAACTTCATCAGTCAGAGCAAAATTAGTTAGGCAGAGATTCAGAGAGTTGTTGGAATGTACCAACATTTTTCTCACGAACTTCAGGGGTGTCTCCTGAAAACCAATTTTGCTCTGATTGAAGAAATTGCTTGGATAAGCAACAAAATATCTCAGATCAATGAAGTTTGGTCCAGTTGCCATGATTCAACCTTTAGACACCTTTGACCTGGATGATTGAGTCTTCATTGACATATACACTGTATGCGTGTGAGAGAGATTTCTTATTTGATGCAAATCTTCTCAATAAGAACAATAAAGTCTTTAACCTGGGATCCAAGCACAGGATATGAACTGATTTGATATGATTGCTTTTGGTTTCAGCATTTGTCCATTCAGTCATTTCTCAAGTTTTGAACCAATTATTATTGAGATTTGCATCAAATCAGAAATCCCTTCCTTCCTAGGACTCAAGGTGTTTTTTTTTCTTTGTATCTAAAACAAGGCTATTAGCCCATGTATATATATCGTCTCTTACAACTTGAACTTTGTAGAATTTCCCTCAATGCCACATGCTTCATCACAAGTTAAGAGGTAGATTCTTCCAGGTCTATGTCAAGGAATCCTACAGTTGGTGATTCATCTTAATATAGCCATTTCTCCAATCGGGAATTGGTCATTCCACAGATTTCCAATTAGTTCTCATCACATTCCCCTTGTTGGGTCTAGAACAACTCAGTGCAGTCAGCTCAACATAGCCAGCTTGGCATGACCAGCTTACCACTATCAAGTCACCTCTGGCAACTCATCGCCTCCAAGTTGTCGCAGGACAATTCAACCCAGCCAATTCACCACAGAGACAACTCGGTGTGGGCAGCTGGAGGGAGTTGTCTCTGTGTTGAATTGGCTGTGTTGATTTGTTCTGCTACAACTTGGTGATAGTGAGTTTGCAGAGATGATTTGTGGTTGCAAGCTGGCTGTGTCCATTTTGACCCTTGTTACCCTTTCACCTAACTATTCAACAACTATGTTCTAGTGTTCTAGTCTTTTTTATTTCATGTTGTTCCCAGTCTATGCCAGGGGCAGCTTGAAGATCATTCTTAGCAGATTACCACAGTACAACAGCATAAAGAAGGAACTGGTTCAACCAATGATCCCCTTAACGCAATTGGCAACACCTGTCACTACCAGAGCGTAGAGTAAAACCGATCCAGAACTCTCAGGGGATTTACTCGAAAAGTTACGAGAAGCGCTAAAAGCTGACGAGTGGTTTAAAATCCACTCGAATGAATGCACACTTCGCGACGGACTAGCTTGGGTTGGATCAAAATTGTATGTTCCGACCACATTAAGACCAACCGTATTGAAATATGCGCATGATGCCAAAGCCGCAGGACACTTTGCGTTTGTCAAAACATTACATCTTGTTAAGAGACAGTTTTGGTGGCCTGCACTAAAAAAGGACATACAGGCATATGTGGCTAGCTGTCCAGTATGTGCCTCGGCTAAAAGACCTCCAGGGAAATCCCCTGGATTACTGCAAGGTGTGGCTAGACCGAACGCTCCATGGAAGGAAATATCTATGGATTTTGTTGTGGACTTACCCGACAGTGAGGGCTGCACTGTCATTTGGGTAGTAACTGATTTGTTTTCCAAACAAGTACATTTCATACCTTGCTCAAAGATCCCTTCAGCAAAAACCCTCGCAAAATTATTTATTCGGCAGATTTACCGACTACATGGGTCTCCGAAAAGAATAATTTCTGATAGGGGTGTGCAATTTACTTCCAGTTTCTGGAGAGAATTTTTAAGATTGATAGGCTCCGCACAGGGGTTGAGTTCCAGTCACCACCCTCAGACAAATGGTGCTTGTGAAAGAACCAATGGGATGCTCGAACAATACCTTAGGTGTTACGTG